AAATGCCAAGATTTGGGAAAAAATTGAAAATAGGGGAAACAGAAGCCAAACACACACAAAACCTACTTGCACTAAAATATAAAGATAAAAGAGAAGTTTTCATGCTGTCCACAATGCATAAAAATGAATTTGCTAATACAAACAAAAGAGATAAAGTCACTAATCTGCCAATTCAAAAACCTTCAGCTGTTATTGACTATAACCAGAAAATGGGCACTGTCGATCAGACGGATATGCTACTTAGCAGCATTGGCTGTCTTAGAAAATCTCTCAAGTGGTACAAAAAGCTCTTTTTTCACTTCATTGATACATCTTTACTAAATGCATATTCTTTGTATTTAGTAAATACAGGCAAACGTCCATCTCTTGCCGAATTCCACATCAATCTCATTGGCCAGATTATTGAGAAGTACCATGAAGCTAGAGTTCAAGTTCATAGGGGCAGACCAAATATATTTTTAAAATATGTTAAAAGTAAAATAAACATACTTGTATTGATCTGTGCTCTTTAAATTAAAAGTTTTAGAAGTGTTTAAAAATTCTTTATTGTGTGGAAAGTTTCGAAACAAGGCACCACACACAGAGCAACATCACAGTCTTTACTAAATGCATATTCTTTGTATTTAGTAAATACAGGCAAACGTCCATCTCTTGCCGAATTCCACATCAATCTCATTGGCCAGATTATTGAGAAGTACCATGAAGCTAGAGTTCAAGTTCATAGGGGCAGACCTTCTACATCTGAAGACAGACCCCTTAGGCTTATTGAGAGGCACTTTCCATCTTTAGTTCCCCCTACTGAGAAGAAAAAAAATCCTACAAGATATTGCCGTGTTTGTGGAGCAAACAAAAAGAGGAAAGAATCACGCTACATGTGCAAAGACTGTGATGTTGCTCTGTGTGTGGTGCCTTGTTTCGAAACTTTCCACACAATAAAGAATTTTTAAACACTTCTAAAACTTTTAATTTAAAGAGCACAGATCAATACAAGTATGTTTATTTTACTTTTAACATATTTTAAAAATATATTTGGTCTTTATATGAATGTGTTATCTACTACTATAAATATTATATATCATATATCTATTTATGTTCTATATATAGCGATAAATATTATATATCTTATTTTTAAGCTTATATAAGATTTTTTTTCTGATACTTTATATTACTTAGTATTATTTTATATAATTATTTTTGAAAAATGAGAAAATTGATTTTTTCAAAAAATATTCAGTCTGTAGAGTATTTATGCTAAATCACGTTATTAGCACTGAAAGGGTTAATAAATAAAAATACATTTAAAAAAAAGTTTTTATTTAAATGCACCAAAAAGTAAAAAATAAAAGCGGCGATCATATTTAGAGAAGAGGTAAAAATATAGCAACCACTTATAACAAATCAGTTGCTACATATTAAATCACATTAGGTTCCAAATTCATGATGATTGTCCCCCGCCTCTTTTCACTCAGTTACATCTAATTGCTCAATGACAGAAGATACAATATTTTATTTTTTTTCATTTTTAGTGCTTTGAATAAAAGCTTTTTTTTTTTTAAATATATTTTTGATTATATGCCATGTACACTTTGTACTGGCCATGATAATCATGGTAGGTAGTAGTTGGTGACTTTGTAAGTGAACCACATGTCTACACATGTAGAAAGCTGTTTGACTTGTCAAGTAAATTTCTAATATTATTTAACTAGGGATTATTGTAGGAAAAGTCCATAAAAGGGATGAGGGACATGGAGGGACAATATCTGATATTCCAACTCTTTTTCCCCCTCTTTTACACTCATGGACAAAACTTAAGGAAGTTGTACCCATGTATATCAGGACAATAACTCTGAAAGATATTACAGCGACCTTTATTGAAGACACACAAGATAACCAAATGTAAACATAATTGCCTCTATTCCTTCAAAAAAAAAAAAAAAATAGATGACTGGCGACATCAAAGACTTTCCACTTCCTAAAGTTTTGTCCATGAGTGTACTTTAACCTTGTTATTGTGGTCAAATTAACTTAGAAATATTTGGCTCCTTATTTAAAAAAAAAAGGACAATTCTAGATTGCTGTATATATTGGTAGGTCTTGGCTTTGAAAAGTCCCTATTATTAGAAGAGCTGGAATGGGCTTTACTTGCTCTCTTGTTTTGTCGAGAAAATTTTTCTTCTATTTATAAATTCTTAACATAATACAAATGTCAATAGAACAATTATTCAGGAAGATAAACTAAAAATAACGAACTCTTCTCCAAATAATGAGTTTTGCGGAAAAAAGATATGGCAAAAGTTTAGCAGAGAAATGCTGAAAATAACAAAATAATATGACTAAAATACACAGTATTTGTTATTCCTAACCACCAAGGCTATATATATCAATGGGCATTTTTTTTTTAAATTATTATTTCTTGGACTCCGCGACGAAACTGTCTTAATAAAAAGCTTTTGGCGATGATTTTTTTTTTTTGCTTATCCCTAGTACACGTGGTACAGGCCATGATAATTATGGTGGGTAGAATTAGGCAACTGCTTTTACTGTAAGTGCACCACATGTCTACACGTGTGAAAAGCAGTTCGACTTTGCACTTACAAATGTGCCAGAGCCCCGTTTGATTACATACACTCGCTGGTGAGGTTGGACTTTTGCAAGAATCGGGGGCCATTGGAGCATTTTTTTATTTAGAAAAAAAGTTCCCAATGCGGAAATCGAACCCGGGTCGTAGCGGTCGAAAACCAACGGTTTAGACCAGGGGTGGCGAATCTTTTTATATTAGAAGGCCAATTTTCATTTTACCATTTTTTGAGAAGGCCGCATCCATATATATATATATATCTATATTAATAAAATGGAAATTTCATAAGTGGTGTTCGCTAAAAACTTTCATTACAATGCATCAATTTCGACCAAATTTTCAACATTTATATAAAACGAGATGGAGCAGGTTTTGCTTAACATCAAAATATTTTTCCTAATTTTAACATGCGTAACTTCGCTGTTATCGATTAAATACAAAAAAATCAAGAGTTAATTTTATTTATATATAAATACAAAAAAAAAATTCAACAGAGTTAATTTTTTTACATACTAGCTAATAATCTCAATCTAAAAAAATATTCAAAACAAGCAATTTTAAGATAACACCATATGTAAAACAGTCGGCCAAGAAAACAACAACGATATTACATCTTTCTCACATATTCACACACAATCTTGATTAATAATTAAAACTAATCTTTAACATTGTTTATTATACTTCATAATATATAATATTCGTTAGGCAAACTTTCACTCGGATAATCTACTTATATATTTGCCTTATTCTGTCTGTCTGAAGCTCACGGATGGGATTTTTCATAACCATCGGTGGTTCAGTGGTAGAATGCTCGCCTGCCACGCGGGCGGCCCGGGTTCGATTCCCGGCCGATGCATTTTTTTTTTTTTTTTACAATTTTTAAAACTCATTTATATATTATACAAGAATGACATCCACGGCGCCAATTTATAATTGTAACGAATAGTATTTGAACAAAAGCATTTAATCGGGTAAAACCCGGGCGTTGCCCGGGTCATTCAAAAGCCAACAATGAAGAGTGAATGTAAGATAAAAAGCCAACAATGAAGAATGAATGTAAGATAAAAAGCCAACAATGAAGAGTGAATGTAAGATAAAAAGCCAACAATGAATAGTAAATGTAATATAAAAAGCCAACAATGAAGAATGAATGTAAGATAAAAGCCAACAATGAAGAGTAAATGTAATATAAAAAGCCAACAGAGTGAATGTAAGATAAAAAGCCAACAATGAAGAGTGAATATAATATAAAAAGCCAACAATGAAGAGTGAATGTAAGATAAAAAGCCAACAATGAAGAGTGAATGTAATATAAAAAGCCAACAATGAAGAATGAATGTAAGATAAAAAGCCAACAATGAAGAGTGAATGTAAGATAAAAAGCCAACAATGAAGAATGAATGTAAGATAAAAAGCCAACAATGAAGAGTGAATGTAAGATAAAAAGCCAACAATGAAGAGTGAATGTAAGATAAAAACCAACAATGAATAGTAAATGTAATATAAAAAGCCAACAATGAAGAATGAATGTAAGATAAAAAGCCAACAATGAAGAGTAAATGTAATATAAAAAGCCAACAGAGTGAATGTAAGATAAAAAGCCAACAATGAAGAGTGAATGTAATATAAAAAGCCAACAATGATGAATGAATGTAAGTTAAAAAGCCAACAATGAAGAGTAAATATAATATAAAAAGCCAACAATGAAGAGTGAATGTAAGATAAAAAGCCAACAATGAAGAGTAAATGTAATATAAAAAGCCAACAATGAAGAATGAATGTAAGATAAAAAGCCAACAATGAAGAGTGAATGTAAGATAAAAAGCCAACAATGAAGAGTAAATATAATATAAAAAGCCAACAATGAAGAATGAATGTAAGATAAAAAGCCAACAATGAAGAGTAAATATAATATAAAAAGCCAACAATGAAGAGTGAATTAAAGATAAAAAGCCAACAATGAAGAGTAAATATAATATAAAAAGCCAACAATGAAGAATGAATGTAAGATAAAAAGCCAACAATGAAGAGTAAATATAATATAAAAAGCCAACAATGAAGAGTGAATGTAAGATAAAAAGCCAACAATGAAGAGTAAATGTAATATAAAAAGCCAACAGAGTGAATGTAAGATAAAAAGCCAACAATGAAGAATGAATGTAAGTTAAAAAGCCAACAATGAAGAGTAAATCTCTATATATATATAAAAGTCAATTTCAGTCTGTCTGTTTCACGATAAACTCAAAAACTACTGAACCAATTGGTACCAAATTTTGCATGTCGCTTTTTATAAACCTGAGGAAAATTTTCGGCTGCATTTTGATTAGTATTTTTGGCTATTTCTTTTTTTCATTTGAAGAACTTTTTTTTACGCGGACTAATCCGGAATGGAATGAATACCTAAATATGGCCATTTTTTTAAGCATCGGTGGTTCAGTGGTAGAATGCTCGCCTGCCACACGGGCGGCCCGGGTTCGAATGCCGGCCTATGCATTTTTTTTTTTTTACAATTTTTAAAACTCATTTATATTATCTATATATATATAATTGAATGTCTGTCTGTCTGTACTCTATAGATTCAAAAACCATACATCCAATCGCCGTGAAATTTTGGGATATTATTAGGTATATCACCGGGAAGGTTTTTGAAAAATAATTTCATGAATATCTTGAATATCCTTAGAGTTATTTGCAGATTTGTAGATTTAACTCGCAAGCAGCGCCCCCATTGTGACGATGATAACAAGTTTTCTTATCACTAAGTTTGTTATCTTAAATATTATTTATCAAAAGTAAGATTATCTCAGGATGACACGGCAATTTATTTGCGACAAGAATAATGATACAATTCCCAGGCGAAGATACTATTCCTTTAACTTCCAATTACCGAGGGAACCAATTAATATTGATTTTATTCAACTTATCGAGTATTTTTCAAGGGACCGGGAAAAAATGTTCACTAGATAAAACTATGATTTTCTAATGTAGAAAATTAGGAAAGACAAAATTCAGGATGACACGGCACACAGGGACCGGGAAAAAATGTTCACTCTATCGAGAGATTCAAATTTACGAGTTTCAAATTATCAAAATATATCTTTTTTTTTAAATAAGTTTTTAGAGAATTGTTTTAACAAATGTTCTCTAGACAAACCTTTACTCGGGTAAAACCCCGGGCGAAGCCGAGTACGTTTTATAAGTTTAAAGAGAATTGTTTTAACAAATGTTCGTTAGACAAACATTCACTCGGGTAAAACCCGGGCGAAGCCGGGCACATCCGCTAGTATATATATATATATATATATCTACTTATATAATTGCCTTATTCTGAAGCTCACAGATAGAATGCGCGCCCATTGGCTGCCGCTGGCGAACACGTGTCCTCCCTGCCCCCCTCTAGAAAACCCTGTTATCAGCTGTGTGATACATACACCTGTCTATACAGACCACCCTGTCTACAGCAGCCACTCTAGACAACCCTGTTATCGGCTGTGTGATACATACACCTGTCTATACAGACCACCCTGTCTATAGCGGCCACTCTAGACAACCCTGTTATCGGCTGTGTGATACATACACCTGTCTATACAGACCACCCTGTCTATAGCGACCACCCAAGACAACGTTTTTAAAATATATTCGCACTCGGGTAAAACCCGGGCGTTGCCCGGGCCATTCGTCTAGTATATATATAATTAAAAAGGCATATATTGGATCAAAAATTGAAATTTAAATACTTACATTTATTATATTATATATATTATATAATATATGACATTCGTATTAGATATTTTCAATAAAATAATGAAAGTAATTGAAAACTGCGAAACAAAAATTATAATTTTGAATTTATGAAAAGGCCACAACTTGGGCAAGAAAAGGCCACATGCGGCCTTAAGGCCGCAGGTTCGCCACCCCTGGTTTAGACCATCCTTCCACCGACCCCCGGCGATGATGATTATACGGAAGATCGACCACCTATCAGCCTGAGTTTCGCCTGCTGAGCGTCGCGAAGTGTTACCTAGATAAGTACCCAACCTTTAGAAAGTTCCAAGTCGTCCTAGCGAAGAATCAAAACGGATGTTTCTGCGTTGACTATCGCCGACTGAATGAAATTATCAAGAACACCCCGTATAGACGATACCTCGGACTGCTTTGAAAAGTACTGAAAACTTTTCGTCAATTCGTCTATTGGCAAATCCAAGTGACGATCTTGCCAAACTGTGGAATTTCAGTCCATATTGCTTGTCTAAATGATCAACGATCGAAACATATAACACGCCATCTATAGATAATGAGAAATAAAACTAGTTAGTCTTCTCACATAATATTCTTCCATCGCAGTAAGGACAGTAAGAAAGTTTGCTTTATTTTAAAAATTCGTGAGATTATATAACAACTTTCTTTCATATATTAAATTATTCTTCTGGACAATATTGTGACTAAATAATTGTTTATATTCAATTTATTCTTCCAATTAAGGCATATAACGATACCCCCCATCCGTCACGGGATTTCCCCCATCATACCTCATGAACGGCTCCCTGCCGAAAGAACTGTCACAACATCTAGATCCTTACCCATCGGTCACTGAATCTAGACCCCTAGCGTTACAGAGAACGAAAGAACGTCATTAGCTAGATAAGATCAGATTTGATAAAAAAATCACACACAATCACAGTCATCCCCCGACTTTGAGGTAGGCGCGTTTAAACGATCTCCATTAGGTTCCATTGTCTCAGCTTTTCTAGTATAGTCCTGGGATTTTCCCAGAGGTCTTTTTTTTTTTTTTGGAGGATTTAATACGATTCAATAGATGTTCAGGACTGGCTGGTTGGGAATAGGGGCATTTCAGGAATGTTTTGATTTTTCCATTAAATTCGATCATTCTGAGATGTCCTGTTCGTAATTCTTCTCCCAAATATACAAGGTGGGGTCAATAAATAAGGTGAATTATAATTTATTAAAAAAAATAAGAACGATATTAAAAATTAGGACTTGATTTATTCAAAATAATCACCTTGGCTTTCTATACATCGTCTCCATCGTTCTGGCAACTTGTAAATACCCTCTTTATAGGCACTCTTAGGAAGCGTGTGAAAAAAATCTTGCACCACTTTCTGGACATCTTCATCCGAGTCAAATCGCTTTCCCTTTAACTCCTTTAGTAGTCCAAAAAGGAAATAGTCAGAGGGGGCTAGGTCTAGACTATATGCAGGATGTTCTAAAACTTCAAAACCTAATTTAATGATTGTAGATACAGTTTTACATGATGTATGCGGCCTTGCATTATCATGAAGGAAGAGAACACCTTTACTAAGCTTCCCTCTTCTTTTGTTTCTTATACCGGGCTTTAGCTTATTTACAAGAATGTCACAATAAAGGTCGCTGTTCATACGTTGCCTTGAGGATAAAAAATCAAGACAGATTGGTCCATCAACATCCCAAAAAATTGTTAACAAAACTTTACCGGCCGAACGTTGAGACCTGATTTTTTTTTGGTCTTGGAGAGTCGCCTCGTTTCCATTCCATAGATGCACGTTTTGTCGAAGGATCATAATGATAACACCAACTCTCATCTCCAGTTACAATTTGGTCAAGAAAATGATCACCTTCCTCTTCATACCGCTTTAACAGAGCCTTTGAAACCCGAATACGGTCAAGTTTTTGGTCCAAATTAAGGAAATGTTGAATCCATCTGCCGCATATTTTTCTAAATTGCAATTGTTCTTTAATAATGGTGTGCACAGTTCCATAGCTTATATTCAAATTGTCGGCTATGGTAAAAATGGATATTTTTCTATCCTCCAAAATTAAGTTTTCAACCGCATTTATCGTGCTCGGCGTCGCTGTAACACTTGGTCGTCCAGGTCGCTCAATATCGGTGCATGTTTTTCGTCCATTTTTAAACTCGTTAACCCATTTATAAATGTTTTTTTTTTTTTTTAAACAAGACTCATCATATATATTTTTCATTCTTTGGCATATTTGAGATGTTTGAATACCTTCTGCATTCAAGAAACGAATAACTGCACGTTGTTCAAGCGTGGTGCAATCCTTAAAGGGAGCTTCCATTTTAGTTTATTTATAAGTCTCGCGCGTGGGAAAAAAGAACAGAACACCTTAATATTCTGTGGTTTAAATTATTTTTGCTTTTTTAATTTTTAAGAAATAAAATAATTCACCTTATTATTGATCCCCCCTTGTATATACTCGTATTTATTAACAGAGAGATTAATTTGTTCCTCACCTCCTTAACGTAAACAATCAGTTTAGTTTTAGTCTACTAGCCGCGTGCTGACGTAATAAGTATTTTCCATCACACATCAGTTTAGTCATCCACTATACTACGACACAAGTGAGTGGTGTATGGAATGGTGCGGGAACAAGATGGAGGAAGGCGGAAGTCCGAGGTAGTTTGTTGACCTCTCCGCCGCCATCAAGTTAGAATCAATTTAAGCCGCCGTGTGTGTTTACATCGTTGCTCGGGTATCTCTACTTCGTCCGTCCTCCAGTTTGTATTGCTTTTTGGAGGACAAATCACCCAAATATCGTTTTTTTTTTTTTTATATACAAGTCAGATTTAGAAGAGTTTTGCTTCTCATTTAAATATCATCACCCATGGCTAGTCGTCGAGCAGTGAATCCTGCCATGGTGTGACATAGTGGAATGTCCCCATTCATATTCACCACTGACCTCCTCTTCCATACCTTATTTATATCTTTATATTGGGTTCAAATTCACATGAATAGGTACCGCTCAGCAAGATCAACCTAGTTCATGATAATTGAAACAGTGAATAATAAGTGAAGGTTATTCACATATTAAACAAAACTTTAACGCGAGATTAAATCCCGGTTCATGACTGTCGGGAATCGAGGGGGTTACCCACTCGTCCACCGACTTTTTTTATCTTGATATTGTTACGTAGAAAATGACACTGTGCAATTTATATATTTAGCAAAATGGAGATTGAAGAGGATAAGTACAAGATCTTCAATCTCCGTTTTATTTTGCTATTTCAACTCGAAAAGTTTATTTTAGCAATTTATATATTTAAGGAAAGAACTATATATAAACATTTATAAAATATCATTATAGACACAATATGGGAATTAGCAAAAATACATATCAAAGTTAATAAATAAATATTATCGTCTCTCAGCATCAAAATCCAGAATCGAGGCGCGCAGTTCCTTGTCTAGCTTGTCTCCACACATTGTACCAGTCATGTAGGAGGATCTGACTGTTTATTCCGACGGCAGGAATGTGCGCACTTTGTCCCCTCCTCTCCCCTTGATCCCCGTTTCTATAAACATAGGGATCGTAATAAATTCTTCGGTGTTGGGGAAGCCTCCTCGACTGTAAAGAATGGTAAACAGTTCTCCCCTGACATATATCTCTAATACATCTTGGACGACGGGTTTATTGCTTGGTATTTCGAGGATCGTTATTTTCAAAAGTTTCTTCAATAAGACCAACTTATACCAATA